TAATTATAGCATTTGATTAGAGAAGTTAGCTAGTATGCTACCTATATAAGATAGTCTCCAGTAATCTCTGTATCCTAAGCATCAAGGCCCAGGAGCAGATTCCTCTGATGGCCACTTGCTGCAGCGCATGGCTGCATATTATTCTGAGTGGCGGTCGAGCAATGGTTGATATGGTGGCGGATATGATGTTTATTGCGTCTATATTAAAAGATGCGAACGTTTGGCAAGCCTATTCACATATTTCTCAAAGATTGTGCAATACAGCGAGGCTGAGTAGGGCTTCGCTGCGGGGTTAGCATCTTAAACGGCTAGGTGAGCAGTCGACAGGAGAACGTTTGGTCGCGGCGCAAGCAACAAATATAATAAGCAAGGCTAAGTATCTTAGTCTTGTAGTCTTATTAGGTCCAAACCAGGCTATGAAAGAATACACTGGATAGATATAGCTGTATTATTTATACTTAGGTTTTTTTTGGCTGCTAGATGTATACTAGACCTTTGACTAAGATGCTCAAAAAATCATACCTTCATAAAATGCTCTACCTGCCATGACTACTTCCAGGTTTGCAAGGTCTCAAGGGCAGGACTTCTTTCTAAAATCTTGATATTTATTATTTCGCAGTCAAACTTTCGTATAAATTTTTTAATTTTCGCAGATACCCTTCACCAAGCTGGGGTGGTGTAGTATTAGCAGCACGTCTATACGGGGTACTGTTCTTAAGTCAAGGCTGTTTATAGGTAGAGAAATAGCTGAAGGACCACGTTATATTGTCTACAAATTTATATCTCCATAAATGAATGATTGAGGCTTCCTAGTGTTCCGTTTCAGGGTGCGCAACGTGACGCAGGGACGGACGTTATAATGTTCTGTATTCGACGATGATAGTACTCCACAAAATACATAGAGGGGCTGATTGTCAAGTAGAGCACGGGTAATGACATGTTGTAAAGCTAGCTAACAAAGCATAGAGGCTCATCTTTGGATTCATCATTATCAAATACGGTTACCAGCTAGATCCTTGACTCGCTGGCCGTTGAAGTACGTCCCGTCAACAAGAACTCGCTTGGTTTCCCTTCCTTCAGCTGGTAGCTCATCTAAAAATCGCCAGCGAAGCTTAGATTTCCAACCAGAACAAAACCATTCGTTTAATGTACCATGTGGAAAAAATGGGATCACGTCTAGGGTACCCGGATCATGCGCGATCAATACAAGGATTCGTTCTTCGGCATCGATGGCCTTGAGAGTGTCGATGCTACGTTGCGCCTCTACAGGGTTTACATACCAGGAATCAGAGCTGGTACAAACTCGGTAGTACGGGGATGTCCGCGCAGAATTTTGTTCCGGGTGACAAGCTGTAAAGTTTGAAAAATGTATCTTCGCTGATATTTCTGACCCCCTACCGAGCTCTTTCGAATCGAACACTGACGGCATTGGGGTGTACGGATTGGGTCTGAACGATCCGCCAAAATGGCAAATGTCCCCCCCAAGAAAAATGAACGTGCTATCACTAGTCCTCACAAGTGCAGAGATGTGTCCGATGGCGTGACCTGGAGTATTCAGGATGTACAGACTGCCGTCTTCAAAGTAATCGGCGGCGGGAAATCCGACAATTTCGGGGTAGTCTGCAAAGTCGAGCTCGCGCACGTTGCGGCCCTCAAAACTATTCTCGAATAGAGGAGATTCTTTGACCGTGGGATAACCAGGCAAGAACGCCTTTGAGAAGCCTGGTCCTACAATAAGGTCCATAGACTTGGGGAAAGTGCTGGGATCGCCAACATGGTCGTAGTGATGATGGCTGATTATAGCAGCTTCTAGAGCTGCAGGATCGAGACCTCCGTTGACCAAGACCTCTATAAGGTCACTTCCTACTCTAATTCCAGGCACCTTCTTGTCTATAACATCTGCTATGGGTTGAGGCAGATTCCAAAAGTCCTTCTTGCAGCCCAGGTCAAACAATATCTGGCGGTCGGACGGGTGTTTGATCAGAAACGAGATTGTTGGCAGGTTTAGCAGCTCATGGCCTTTGATTGGCGGCTCACAGAGCGTGCTGATGGGTGCAGTTAGGTCACATGTAGTATTTATTGCCGAGACTGCACAGTAAACAGAGCCGTTCGGTAGGCTGAGTCTTGGCGCGGCTATAGGTTTGATCTCTGCATTCATATTCATTTTTGAGGAGTCTAGTCTTACTCCGCTATATTCAAATATAATCTGCGCATATAATGCAAAGTAAAGGAGAAATAAAGTCCCGAATTTCACGGGCTCAATTCACCATGTCACGTCTCAATATCATTAAGTGCTAGTCATGGACCAGGGAGTTGAGCGGGTCACCCAACGGCATTACTCATGTCTCTCGTCTCCACTCCGCCTCGCCCTGCCCTCCCAAGACCGACCCGGATATGCAAGTTTCCATGTGATAGATTTTTTCAGGGTGAAATTATTTGGGAAATAATAAAATAAGCTAGCTTCCGCCTTCAAAATGAGGTCGATTTCACTTGCGATTTGCGCTCCTAATTACACATCTTCTCCTTATCGATTTGTATACATTTGGGCTGCACTCATCAGATATGGCTCCTGTGGATGCAATCATCATCGGTGCTGGGCCGTCTGGCATTGCCATGGCTCACAAACTCAAGTGGAAACTTGGCTTCGAGAACTTCACCGTGAGTTTTGATGGTCTTGATATAAGGTTTTTTTTTCTCATTTTGCCTCAGATTTATGAGAAACTAGACGGGCCTGGTGGAACGTGGAGAACAAACGTGTATCCGGGATGGTAATTACGAAACTGAAATTGAGCTGGAGTTATACCAATTGACGTTGTGAACAGTGGGTGTGACATCCCAACTCATCTATACTCCTTTAGTTTCAATCTGAACCCATCGTGGTCCAAAGAGCTTTGCGATCGTGAGGAGATACTTGAATGTATAAAAATCTATGCCGACGTCTATTATCACATGAAGCTGACATGAAGAGCCTGCAGATATGGAATCGACAGTGGATAAGTTTCGCCTGCGGCCACATATGGTCTTTAATACTTCGTGCGAAGGCACTTGCTGGAACGAAAAGGAGAACGCATGGGAGGTCTATCTAGTTGATGAAAGGACGAAGCAAAGATACACCAGGAAGGCTACCATTTTCATCTCTGCCATTGGAAGTATCGCAGAACCTAGAAGATTGAAATTCCCAGGTCAAGACGAGTTCAAAGGCGTGATTTTCCACACCGCGCGGTGGGATACAAAGTATGATTACAGAGGTAAGCGGATGGCCTTGATTGGAAACGGCTGTTCAGCCGCCCAAGTGGTGCCTACTGTCGTAAAGGATGTCAAGAATCTCACCCAGTAAGGTTTTCTTTGCCAAAGCTAGCATCTGAACACTATTCTAACTCCGGTGGAGATATGCTCGCAGCCAGCAATGGTATCATGAGCGTCCTAATCGCGCGTTCACCGCATTTGAAAAGTTCTGCTTCAAGTATATTCCTCTTTGGCAAAGGTTTCATCGATTCCAGATATTCACCTCCAACGATGCCTTAGTGACGACGTATGGATCCTCTGAAGAATCTAAGAAGCAGCGCGAGGCAACAGAGAAAGCTGCCAAGGAATACATTTATAGGACAGCGCCGAAGAAGTATCATGATGTGCTCGTGCCGAAGTTCCCACTTGGTAATCCTATTCAATTCTCAAATTTATACCCCAGCATCTAATCGAAAATAGGCTGTAAGAGACGTATTTTTGATCCTGGCTACCTCGAGGCCTTGCATGAGCCAAACCTGACCCTTCGCAGCGAAGGTATACGAGCTATTGACGCCACTGGAATCATAAGCGAGTCTGGAGAGCACAAAGAGTTTGATGTGATAGTCCTTGCCACGGGGTTTGAAGTCTCCAGTTTCCTGGGACCTTTAAAAGTTATGGGTAGGAATAACATCGATTTGCATGAGCAATGGGATAGGCATGTCGGTGCACAGGCTTACATGGGCATGCACATCCACAATTTCCCAAACTTTGCCTTGATGTAAGTTTAACCTGGGTCATTTCATTTTCGACCAAAGCTTAACCTATGCCTAGGTTTGGCCCGAACACTTTCCCAGCGCACAATTCGGTCATATTTGCGTCCGAGGTGCAGGTAGACTATATCGCACGGACGCTTTTCGAACCTTTGATCGATGGCCGCGCCAGAACAGTTGAGGTGAAAGAAGGTGCGGAGGAGGAGTTTGTCAAATCTATCGACGTCGAACTTCGAAACACTGTTTTCTCGGCGGGCTGTTCAAATTGGTATATTAATAAGGCTGGTCGAAATTCTGCGTCGTGGCCCGGCTATGCAGCCACATTCTGGCGAAGGACACTCTTTCCGCGGTGGAAGGACTTCAAGCTTGAGGGAGGAAATAGCCTTTGGTTACTGCACAGGAGCTGGAGAATTCTGACCCGATTCCTGCAGTCGAAGCTCGCTATTCTGTGTTACGCGGTGGGGCTCGGGTTCCTCGTCAAGGAACAAGATCTGGGTCCATATCTTCAAGAACTCGCGACGCGCTATCTAAAGTAGATGGAAACAGGTGCCAGTCACATTTGGGTCAAGGCGATATTTATAAACTCCGTGCTCGTTATCTTTTCCCTTTCAGAAAGGATTTTGTATTATGCAATAGAGTTACAGTTTTACAATTGAGTACGTAAGCACATTACACTGATGGATTAAACACTTTCCATGAAAAAAAAAAACGGAGTCAAGACTGTAGGGAGACTGCACAATTCAGTCTTGAAAATGCATCCATTCTAGAGTGCCCTCTATCCATTGATCCAGGGTAGATATTAACAGCAGAATGTTAGAAGAGTGAGCTAATGAAGACTGAGACATGAGCGATGTAACCCCAAGAGCCAATAGCACCTATTGAAACCATAGACCGGTCATGCTTCCGTACCAATATCTAATGAATCCAGTTTGGAGACAAATATAAGATGACATTCAATGGTATTCACAAGTAGATCATTAGAATTTGCTCATTTAGATATGAGTATCAAAGGGCATAACGGAAGAACGGGCTCTTATCACCCATATCAAGTAGTTCCTGTTCATGATATCGGCTTCTCACACCAGCTTCACCGCCGAGATCCTCTACCCAGCGGTCTCTCTTTTTGTTCTCCTTTTCATAAGCCACGCGTAGGATGTATGTCATTATAATGGCGAATGTTGTGAAAGAGAATGATGCTCCAAACCCAAGTTGATATACTGGAGCCTCTCTAGCCAGATAGATGTTTGAGCCAGCAATGGCACCCATGTTCCCAATAGAGATGAGAAGAGCCTATACATTGTTATGAGTTTTAAAGGACCAGAAAGGAGAGTTTCTCGGAACACACTTACCATTGCGACAGCACGCTTTGATGAAGGAGCAACATTGTTCGCAGCCCAAGCGATGAGAGGTGGGAATCCAGCGTACAAGCCACCGGCGATTCCGAAGAGAAATCCGAGCGTCAAACCAGGATATTTTGGATGTGGAATAGCAAGCTGAGCAATAAAGCTAAGGGATGCTATGGTATAAGGAATTATAATAAAAATCCACCTGATTTGGTACCGGTCTGAGAGAAATGCGAACAGGAGGACGAGGATAACGGCAAACGAATAGATTGGTACGGTTAGGAGCTGTGCTTCTGCACGAGTGTAGCCAAGCTGTTTTATCACAGTTGGTACTGTTGCAGTAAAGCTTTTATTGAAGTCAACCCAGAAAGAACATGATCACGGAAAGGGATCAAATCTTACCCGTAAACACCGACGCTGTTGCCCCAGTAAATAAAGACTTTGGCCCAAACCTTCCATTCCTTGAAAGCATTGAGCACATGGTGGGGCCGAATTTTGTCACAATTGGTGACACGACCTTCACCGGACCCGGTCTCGTTGGCTATTCTTTCGATTATAAACTTTTTTTCCTGCTCATTTAAGAATTTTGCCGTTTCAGGGGAGTCAGGGAGGACCCTCCAAAGAGTAAATGAAATTGCTACGGGAACAAGACCTTCAATTATGAATATCCATTGCCAACCGCTCCTGCCACCGATTCCATCCATCTTCTCAATAACGAATGCGAGCAGGCCTGAAAAGGCTCCCGCCATGGAGGCCATAGAGAAGAAGATGGCAAAACGCTGTTGATATTCGTAACGTTTGAACCAAATGGTAAGCAAAAAAGTCGCAGCCGGGAAGAAACCAGCCTGGTTAATGGAGTCGGTGATCTATCGAGACATAAACGCGGCAAACGCTTAGCTTACCTCAGCTACGCCCAAGAAGAATCTCGCAACTAGTAGTCCGGAGTATGACTTTACAAGTCCCATCAAACTAACTTCTATGTTAGAGTGAAATCTGATGCTGGAGATGAGAAAGACGCACGTCATTACTAAGCCCCAGGAGAACAACAGGATGGAGATCCAGATAGACGGGCGTATGAGCTTCAGCACTATATTAGATGGGACTTCAAGCAGAGTGTACGGTACGTAGAACAAAGTGACAGCAGTGTTGTACTGCAAACCGTGGAGCTTAAGGTCGTTATTCATGCCAGCAATATTTGCATTTCCAACTGTGAATTGATGGTTCAATAAGTGAGAGTTTCCAGACCAAAATGGAGAAGAATTGACTCACTGTTGGAGCGATCAATGAAAGAAATAAGATACAAGAATGTGAGCAGCGGTACGACCCGCCGGTCAACTTTGCGTATAGCATGTTTCTGTTCCTTGGCTGTCATTCCCTGGGAGACATCGTCCTGATCGGCATTCTCCGTCTTAATGTCGTTCAGCTTGTTAATGCTGACTTCTTCGATCTGAGTTGCCGGAATGACATCTCTCACACGCTTCGTATTATCAAAGATTTTTTTGGATCGAACTTCCATGGTTAAGAACGACAGTTGTCAATAACGAGAAAGCTGTGCAGGTAAGTGCTGGCAAGTTGATATAGGTGATATCACCATGAGTCAGTCACTTGTAGACTTGCAGCCCTCGATAGCCTATTTCTGATTCAATATCTAGGCGCCCGCTTCATCGTACAACTGTATACTAGATGATAAGTCGAAAATGTTGTCGGACTACTCGCGGCACCGGGGAGATGGTAACCACCCACGAGCTTTTCACAACCCAGAACTTGTTCTGTCCGGGCCATTTGCAAAACTTGGAACAGATTCAACTAAAATCTGGTCCAGGCTACTCTGCAAGGTGGCGATCCATGACTAATGACAGGGTCACAAACCTTCAAATGTTTTTTTTTGAGACCAGCAGGCCATGCACCTAGTGGAGTGTGACTGTATTTAGCAGCTCAAACTCGCACGCTATTGAGAGCATGCCACGCTGGTGTGTACACGCGTTCTAAGCAAGCACAATTCCGAGTCTAAAAATCATGGACTGAGTTAGTAGATATCGCCTTAAACTAGAGAGTAGCAACTTTTCGAGAAAGAAAAATACTGCCAACTCATAATCCATGACCAATGCCACCTAATTTGCATCGTCTGATGATACGCAACAGGCCAGCCCTGGAAAGTCTTAAATCTGAGTACGCAATGCAAGCGAAACTTCTCTTGGATGGAAGAGCAAGTCATGTTCGAAATTTAGCCTGAACAAGTGTGACTCTTTAGTGTTGTATAGAGCTTTCTTAAACCAACTTGCCGACTGATACACGACGCGTGTTCGCGTCAAAGTCATCGATGAGGAAAGGCCAATGATCTCAGCCATGAATCAATGGTACCATAGCTGGAAATCTTTCCAAGAATGCAGGGGTTACTGTCCAGTTATTGAGGTTACGAAGGTGCTTTTCGAAGATGGAATGCAGTCTTTCTGCTCCACCAACTTCATCAACAGCATCAAGAACATCAAAGTTCCAATTAATCGACACGTTCTCCGTATACCACTTTCCTACAGCCTCATAAGGGTAATCTTCCGGATTCTCAATAAGCAGGTCCCGAACGCCTGGCCTATATAATAGGTTAGTCCACGGTAGCAAAACGTACAAGTACGTCTTACCACGGCAGGTTGGTTATCCATATCGCATGCGGAACAGTAATTTGCGTAGCTGTTGGCCTTAGCCAGTTGGGCATGTACATATAACTTTCTTTTGTTCGAGAGACCATCCACTGCGTTGATTAATTCAAAAATTCATAGGGAAATGTTTGCAAGGCCAATAAAACCACGTACCCTCATTGTTTGATTCATGATCCAGAAGAAGGCCATCTTTTCCGGTGTCTTCACCTGGAGATACGTCGAAAGCACATCAGACATCAATTCTTCCAAAGAATGAAGTGCCTCTTTATTCTCAGGATTTCTTAGCTTTTTCACGCTAGGTCTGGTCGGACCAACGACGGCATCCATGGGTACACCATCCGCAAGCATAGCTCTTCGAGAGCTTAAAAAATTGTGCAAAATATCATCCAATGGGCATACTGATGGAGCAAATGGGGGAATTGCAGTGAAAACTCCGTGCTTCGGGTGCTTCGGGCTTTCCTCTGCGAATGATCTATGGCCAACAGTCGACAAGCTGCTCGGAGTTGGGATTGCGATGGCACCATTATTTTGGATATGGCCTTCTTTTGTATTTTGTAGCGGAAGGCTTGATATTTGCACATCCACAATCTCGTCGACTGAATGCGTGCGCTGGACGGCAAGAGGAGTTGCTACTGAAGCCTGATATATCGAGACTTCCTCATGACCACTCTGGCCGTGATTTTCTCGCAGATTTGTTTCAGCATCAGTATTACGTGGTGAGAAACGTTCTGAAGCAGGAGATCGCGCAGCCATTACATCGGAGGATGATGGTGCCAAGCCGGAAGGAGGCATCCCATACGTGAAACAATTCAAGATATTTTGCTTAGGTGAGTGATCAGGCTCATCATTGCTAGGGTAAGAAATACCATCATCTCCTGCGTGGCCTGTATTGAACTCAATGGCTGAAAGTCGCCCGTGGTCGTTCACCAACATTGAGTCCGTGGTCTGAACAATAGGAGAGTTCATTGTGCAGATCTGTTGTTCCTCAGAGTGCTGCTCCTCGAGATGGCTGTCTGGTTGATGAAATGAGCGACAAGTACATCATCTGGAGATATTATGCGCTGCTCGTACCTTCACGCATGGCATTGTCATCACTTGAGCCTCTCAGTGTTGTAGAAGCAAGACCGAGAATGCTTTCAAGAGACTTGACAAGGGCTTGATTTTGCTCGCGAAGAACTTGGATCTGATGTTCTAGCGCCGCTTCTCTGTTTTTGAAAGTCTCCCGCATGTGTGCGTTTTCCTGCTCTAATTTTGAAATGCAATCTTTTGTCCGTTGCCGAAATGCGCGTTGAGCTTTGCGATCAATGTCCCGCTTATGCTGGATCTGCGCTTCAGTAAGTGTGGCTACTGCCCTGGACCGTCTTTGCGACGTGGAAATTGAACCCGCCATCTTGCCCAGTATTTTAGCAAAGCGTGTTCGAGCACAACATGTCAGACCGCACAGTTTCGGGAGGACAATGGTTGTCAAACGATATTTCGAGAAACGCTCAGCGCTGGACATGCGGAGTGTGGGGAATGTGGCGCAAAATATAGTTCTAACACTATCGACGACTAGCTAGAACCACGGACCAGCGGGGAAGAGCGCACGCATGGGGAAGACCTGCGGAGATGACAAGCAAAGATTGGTTGGCGAGACGGAACCGATTATAGCCAACGGTAAGATGGTCAGGGAGAACTTTTCTTCGTCGGAAGATTTGAATGGTGTAATCCAAGAATTTTACGTTTGTAGAACTGCTAGAAATTTCGGTCGTGCGCTCAAAGGAAATCTTGGAGATACCTGTCAGAAGGATGAATGAGACTTTCATATACTTGGAACCCTTAAGTAGGCTGGGTTTCGACATGTCTGAATGTAGAAATAGTTTTATTTCTAACGTGTACTGCTGTCGGATTGTAGAATAGCTGGCCAAATTTGTTCTCCTTGAGACGCTGATTTGAATCATCGCCCGTGGGGTTGCCGCTTGCATTTTTCATTGACTTTACCCGACGTAACCAGGTTTCGCTTCCACGACCAATACTCCAGACTAAGAAAAGGTTATTTTCCCCTTTAATGATTGTATATCATGTTATATATACTATTTATCGTCTTTTCTGCTCTTCACAATCTGCTCAGGCCAAGGGTAGCAGGAGCAATTCCCTTCGGGAGCTCTGGCTTACAGCTGGTTACGTTACATTGCAATCTGTAATAGCTTGGGCTCAACAACGGGTCCTCTACAATATCTGTACTTGATGCAAATGCGTCCCAACCCTTCAGCCCTTCCATCGTATCCATGCATTTCCTCTTAATGATAGTCAAAGCATCGCTGCCTAGCGGTATTCTATGGGGGAGAGGCGTAGAGCTGGCGAACATCAATGCGACGGCATCCATCATCTTGTGTGCAGCTAGTCTCGGATTCCCTAGTTGCTTACCGTCACCTTCCTGGTGTCTGCGCCTGCTATTCTCCTGCACAGTAACATAGTCTTGAATCGTAGTCGAGTTATAGGTTTTGTTCTTATTGTTAGGACTTAGAATACTCGTCCTGAACATTCCTAGCACGAACACGTGGACTCGTATGCCCAAGTGCATCGTCTCCCGTGACAAACATTCGGCAGCACCTGCTCAAGACAAATGTAAGACAAATGTTGTGGGCGGGAAATTATAAGATGTACCTTCGATAGCAAATTTCGATGCGCTGTATGGCCCACCAGCCGCATGTCCATACCAGCCCGCAATGCTACCCATGAAGAGGATCGCCCCAGACCGTTGCATACGCATAGGTTCCAGCACACAGCGGGTCATTTTCAAGGCTCCATAGAAGTTTGTTTCAAACTGTCTTCTCATTTCGCTTTCGCTAGAAAGTGTAAGTAAGAGGATTCGTTCATTCGCGACAGGGCCAATACCTGATCTCTTCCCATACGCCTGACATCACAAAGCCGGCATTGTTAACTAAAACATCAATGCGTCCCATGTGTGCTATGGCGTTGCGTACCTTAGCAGAGAGCTCGAGTTCAGGCATAGTTACATCCAGTTCGAGAGGGTAGAGCCTGTCGGTCGCCCCGGGTATGGCGTTGACGTATTCCAGGTCAGAGAGTCTTCGTACAGTAGGAATAACCTTATCTCCTCGGGAGAGTATGGCAGTGACGAGCTCACGCCCAATGCCGGACGAGCATCCTGTCACAAGCCAAACTCTAGGAGATGAAGATGCAAAATCGAGATTTCCCATTGGCAAGCGCACTGAGGTATGTCGACGATGGCTCAGTGAAACAGAGTCTTGAACAGTACAACTTAAGGTGATGCTACTATGTCCTTGAGGCGAGGTGGTATGGTATCTAGAATATTAATTCAAAAAGCTGGATACGCAAGTTAGAAACTCCGGTTGAGAGGTTATTCTCTCATGATTTGTGCTTGAAACTTACCGTTCAAAGATTCAAAAGAGAGCATCGTGTTCTTAGAAGGGCCTCTGACAGCAAAATTTCGGCGAATCCTGGAGCTTTCACAGGCTTTGCCAAGATGGAGTAATCAAGCCTTCGTAAGATCCAACATTATCGGCCAAAGCACTACGGAGTTGAGGCCCATGACCTCATCCAAGCTTTGCAACCATCTTACACATGAAATTTCAATTCTAGGAAAATGTGGGGAGAGAAAAACGGCTGAAGCCAGAGCGTGTCTTAGTCATGTATTGCCATGACTCATTTCCACTCTTGTGATATGCGGCAACAGTCTAACGACCGACTAGACAGGCCAGGTTTCTATGATTTCGGAATTGGTCTGCTTTCATATCTGCAGGGAATGAATGTTCACAACAAAAGCATTATTTCTTAAGAGATTTTGCTCAATTTCGCTATGCTTAAGATTGGAGTTAAAAATGTGTTCCGAATCTTGCTGCCATAACCAGACCCCTCTTCGGACAAGCAATGCTGATGCGGACAGGAAAAGGAATCAAAAGTCACGCATGAGAAACGGAGGAAAACATAAGAAAATAATACCCATGCACATGAACTTCAAAGCCTGGAAGAAATCATTAAAGGTCCATCAAAGCGCAAACCGATTCGAAATGGCTCTGGATTGGCTTAAAATCAGCTTGAATCAAAACCTCGCGGACTCCAGCGAGTTAGAAGCAACGAGGGATGGAATGGATGATGGCAAGAATCGATGGCCAGTTATCTCACATCGCGATAATCGCATCTGGAAGCATATGCTAAATGACTGGATCCATCAGATATCATCAAATCGGTATCATACACACGAAAATGGGTCTCAGAAGTCCCTGGGTCAAAGAGGTTCGGTGGATCGACTGCAAAGGGACCTTATAGAAGCTCTACTTGGTCATGGCATTCTCACAGAGCACGATCTGTGTCTGTTAACACCTGTTTCATCCATCAAAGGTCATTCAGCCAACTCTGATCAGATATATGACGCAAACGGATGCCCATACAAATCAATTAAAGCTTCCAAGTGCTCATGGTGGACATCGCCGGAACCAGAAGTTGCGGGTTTCGAGCCGATTCAAGTGAGGCGTGCGTTAGATGTGCGTGAGGAGCAGGATTCACTCAGGCTTTCTGCTACAATAGCACCAATGGATACGATCATCTCTGGGGAGCAGGAAAATGAGAGAGAGACTTCAAAGTCTACATTAAGACCCCAGCTTACCCGATCTGGAATTGAGACTCTTGAATCTCGAGACATAGACTATGAAGCGAGGGTGAGTGAATCAAGGCTTCCACCATACTTGGTGCTTCAACTAACCAAGAACAGCTCATGGAAATTTTATCGGACTTATGGTGAAGCTTATGTGCATCGTTATGGTATTTTCTTCTAACGAGTCTCGAAACTGATTAAGCTTTATATGACCAGAAATCCTCTAAGATTTGTTGGTTTCTCTTAATAAGTCGAATCTAACAACAAAAACTCAGATTGTGGTCATTTTCTGTGACAAAAATCCTCCAGAAATGTTTTGTAAAGGCTGAGACTAGAATAGCAGCAGACGCTATGCGTTAAACTACTAGCTTCACATTCTGGAAAGTCGTTCAAAAGCTCAAACTGATTGTCGATGAAAATTCAAGCTGCCGTTACCTGCTCCCTTGTTCTGAGGAACTCTGGGCTGAAATCATAATCTATGTATCCGTGCGGTTGCTTAGGGGTATAGAAGGTGCTCCTGTCATACTTGTTTAGTTCAAGATTGCACTTGACCCTAAATGGTAGATCTGGGGTTGAAATAAAGTATCGACCAAACATGACAACGATGTTCTTGTCCTTCTGTTGTTCATCCACAAGTTTACGAGCTGTTTCTGGTCGAAATCCTCCAGCTACAAGGAATGGGCCAGTCCAAATGTCATAGGCGAATTGAAGGGTATCGGAAACATCAACATCTACATTACCCGCAATCCTCGATTCGACAAGATGCAGGTAAGCAAGACCAAGCTGATCAAGCTTGCTGATGATGTCGGAAAATTGAGGAATCGGATTTTCCATCCTCATGCTGTTAAACGTACTCCATGGACTGAAGCGAATAGCGGTGCGGTCAGCACCGATTGCGGCTGCGACGGATTGTACCACTTCAAAGCAAAAGCGGGAACGGTTCTCAATGCTGCCCCCATACTCGTCTTCTCGCTGGTTGCAGGTATCTTGTAGGAACTGGTCAATCAGATAACCATTTGCGCCGTGTAGTTCGACGCCGTCGAATCCCGCCTCGATTGCATTTTGCGCGGCTTTCACGTAGTCCCGAACGGTGGACTTGATTTCCTGTGCGGACAAAGGAACCGGTATTTTGCTCTTGGGGGTGACCGGAACCGCACTTGAGCTGGTGATGGTAATACCTTCGGCTTTCGCTACTTCTTCGTTTGCTGTGCGGCCAAGAGCCCACAATTGACAGTAGATGAAACTCCCCTTTGAGTGCACATCATCGGTGACTTTGCGCCACGCCTTGATTTGGGCTTCATTGTATATGCCAGGGACGTTTGCATAACCGCCTTGCTGAGGCGAGATAAAGGTGCCTTTTTGAAGAGTTAGTATAGATGAGGTTAAATGGTTAACATGAATTGCATATAACTCACCTTCAGAGACTAGCAAAGTACCAGGCTCTGAGGCACGCTGGGCGTAGTAAGTAGCCATGATATCCAACGGAACATGGTCATCGGATGCGCGAAATCTTGTGAGTGGACACATGCCGATGCGGTGCTTCAGCTTCAATCTTCCAAGGGAGAGGGGTTCAAAAAGTCGAGAGTCGGCCATGGTCGATGCTGGTATTGCAACTGTCCTGGAGATGCTAGATGTTGGATGGGTGAATGCTGCGACAAATTGTGATATAAGAACGCACTTTTAAACCTCTTTTCAATGAGCAATCGAGGCAAAGAATTAGCAGGTTTTTTTTTAAAAAAATTTGTCAGCGAAAACTGTAAGGTACCTTAAACGTCCGAATCGATTAGCAGAGTGCTCCACATTATGGACGGAATCGTGAGCGTGACATGACTAATGCCGCTGTGGCGAGGTTGTGGAGCCATGCCGCCAATAGTGTTTTCCGGACTTCTGATTAACTGTGATTCCTGAGCGGGCGTGTTGACGGATGTTCGGCTTTGCTACCATATGCTGGATTGATTCGTAAAGGAAAAATTGATATATTTGACCGTTCCGTCGCAATGCCTTTCCCATTTTCAGAACAATCAACGCATCAATATGGGCTCCATCTCAGACCAAAAGCTTCGCATTGCTTCCGCTTCCGGTTCGGTCACGGACCGAAGGTTTGGTTTTGCCGACTTAGCAAAATCTGAAGAAATAGAGTTCATCGTTGGTGACTGGATGTCTGAGTATAATATGACTACCCGTGGCGGAGCGAAAATCAACAACAGCGGTACCACAGATGAATTTGAGGAATCGTTCCTGGAAGCTATTGTGCCAGCGTTGCCATATATCGCGTCAAGACATATCAGGGTCGCGGTAAATGCTGGTGCCAGCGACACAGAGAAGCTGCACAACGTTCTTGTGGACAAGATCAAGGCTGCTGGCTTAGATTTGAAAGTGGCTTGGGTCGGAGGTGATGAGGTTATTGACCTTGTAAAGATCGCGCTGAAGGAAGGTGACGACTTTCCAAGCCTGACAACAGGTATACATCGAGATTGATATTATGCTGTTTACAATGTCTGACAATCTTACTTGCAGGCAAGAAGCTTAGTGACTGGGAATTCGAGCCGATCTACGCTCAGTGCTACCTCGGAGCCTGGGGTATTGTTGAAGCCCTGAAGCATGGCGCGGACATTGTTCTTTGTGGTCGAGTAGCTGATGCTTCTCTAACTATCGGCTGTGCAGCATACTACTTTAACTGGCAACGAGACGATCTGAAACAGCTTGCTCACGCATTTGTCGCAGGTCATCTAATTGAATGCTCAACCTATATCACTGGAGGCAACTTTTCCGGTTTCAAGAGCTTACCGGGAAATTCCATCAACATAGGATTTCCAATTGTTGAGATAGAAGCTAATGGCGAATTCGATGTAACAATGCAAAAGGATCGTGATGGCATGGTTACGATCGACACATGCAAGGCTCAGCTCTTATATGAGATCCAAGGGCCATTTTACTACAACTCCGACGTAGTTGCAGTTCTAGACAAGATCAAGATCGAACAAAAAGGGGAAAATATGGTGTAAGTCAGCTATGCTGCATGTCTCCGGTGTGAATGACATCTGATTTTGAGTAGACACGTGAGTAACATCGGCTATCTCAAGCCACCACCAACTACAAAGGTTGGTATCACCGCCAAGGGAGGTTTCCAGGCAGAAGCCCACTACTTTCTCTGTGGACTCGATATAGAAGAGAAATCTCGGATGATAGAGAAGCAAGTACGTCACGCATTGGATGAGACCAAATATCACTGTCTCAAGTTCCGGACCCACGGTCGGTGTCCGGTTGACCCTAAGAATCAAGATGCGGCTACTGTTGACTTCCGTATCTTTGTTCAGTCGAAGGACAAAGAAGCTTTGTCAACTGCGAATTTTTTCCGCCCAGTCACAGACGTCATCATGCAGAGCTATCCAGGGGCAACTTTCGCCGTAGATGCGAGACAAGCCGTCCCACGCCCTTATTATGAGTACTGGGTTGCATTGCTACCACAGAGCAAAGTAAAACATGTCTGCCACATTCCAGCAAAGGGTCTCGACATTTCTATTGCTCCTCCTACAGACACTGAGGATTTTTTATATAACCAAAGCACCTATGAAACCACAAATATTCAAAACCTCTCTTCTTTCGGTGCAACCGAACGAGCACCGTTGGGCTACGTTGTACACGCTCGATCGGGAGACAAGGGTTCGGATTGCAATGTCGGTTTTTTTGTACGCAATGCTGACGAGTATTTGTGGCTTCAAAATCTCTTGACCGTCGATAAAATCCGTCAGCTTCTCAATGAAGATGATGCTGGAAAACCAATATTTCGATTTGAACTTCCAAATATTTGGGGTAAAGTTTCACATATCCACGTGCAGAAAAACATAGCTAACATATTTTAGCCGTCCATTTCCTTTTAAAAGATCATCTTGATCGAGGTGTAGGATCCAGTTCAACATATGATGTGCTGGGCAAGAACTTGGCAGAATATTTACGTTGCAAGCTGGTCGATATTCCTACAAAGTTCTTAAATCGGGGAATAATATAGGTAGTCTGACCATTGGGAGTTAATAGCAACTACCTAGTAGATAAAGTACTACAGCGGTAAAACAATGTGTAATATGTACGCACTTAAACGACAAGTTGGGAATAGTTGGGATCAAATCTAGATGGACGTTGCTGCTAATTTTGAATTATTATACGTGATTTCTATCTCAAATCGCTTTGTTGTGGTTAACTATTTGGAATGCTTACGTGAGCTACCTTAAGAGATGCTCCAATGGCGATCGTCATTTCCAGCAGTAATGCTCGTTACACAGGTGGCCTGTGTTGAGTCGGAGGATGAAGCTACTTCGATGCTTCCCAACGATAGACAGAAATGGCGCGGGGGCAATTGATGTGAGCTTCAACCGCGGATTAGTCCGGGCATTCTGAGTAGGCTTCTGAGGAGCGCAGTTTTCATCAGGCTTCTGGGATTTCCTAGATGAATAGCTAAGAAGAAAACGATTTGTACAAGAAATAATAGCAATGCACGTCATCATTATTCGCCAAGCCATTTCTTTCAACGATTCTAAGCCTTGATGCTTCGAATCCCTGCATGTGACCAAATCGCATATGTCAGACTTTGCAAGGCGTATTGTTTAGCCTTTATTCCACTTGCCTGACCTTTCAATAGTCGTGCAGCAATCCCTTGCATAATCACTGCTGTGCGAAAGTTGCTAAATGCTAGAGCCCAGTCTACTCCCTCTCTTGGATCCCATCCGGCAACATTTTGATACCAATCAAAGCATTCTTCAGCGCTTGGAATACCGTCCACGTTACCCGACGAGAATTTTTCATGCAACTCTCTCAGATCCTCAGTTAGTGAGTACTCGACTAGCATCGGCATTCGTTTGAAGGACCATGAAAATGGCGAAATCAGGTTCATAAGATCAGAGAGAGGATGACCTTCAGTCGCCATTTCCCAGTCCAAGATACCAATCACACGAGCTTTTAATTTGTCAAATACCAGATTATCAAGTTTAAAGTCTCCGTGAACTAATGCTTTACGATTATGCGGCCGTAATAGCTCGTTAGAGAAGAAGCTGACAAGTTCATCGTAATATGGTAGTTCTCCCACTTCTTGCCCTGTTTCGACACTTCTCACTTTAGCTTGCGTAGCCGAGACTCTGCTGAGCGCCTGGACTTGCCGCGAGTAGAATTGGGTCGGCTTTATAAGTGTACTCAGACCAACTGCCGATATGTCTATTTTGTGCAACTTGCCTAAAGTGTGCAGAGCCTCTTTCCAACTACATATTTGTCAGACATTCCAATGCTCATGAGGTGTCGCTTACAGAGTGTTCTGGAACACTCATACTTACATTTCACGGCGTTCCACTGGTGAGAGATCGGGTAACCATGGATCCTTGAAAATCCTTCCATCTAGGAATTCCATGATATAGAAAGGGGTACCTATCACTGAAACATCCTCACACAGGCAGTAGGTTTTAGGAACTGCCACATCGGTATGCTCCAAAGCCTTGATCACTAAATATTCTCGTTCAATACGATGCGCATTCCTGGATATCAATTCTCCGGGCGGCTTCTTGCGGAGAACAAACTTTTGCCCTGTCGCAGAAGTAATTTCGTATGTTGGATTTGACTGCCCGTGAGAGAACTAAGTTACATGGATCTTATAGTTAGCGATTCCAACCCAGAAGAAAAGAATAGAAATTGTTCTTACTCACCTGGTTCAAACGGATCGGGGTTTTGATGACGGGTACGTTGACTCGCACATACTCAGTAAAAGCTGCCACATCTATGGGCTGTCTCATATCGTTCGCCTTAGCTATTATGAACAAGGCTAATGGATTCGTGCTTTCATATGCTACATGAATACATGTATCTTCAAGTTCGCACACTGCAGTCGCCTCTATAAATGTCTATCCCGAGAACAAACCCAGCAACAAGGAGACTAAGGGGACAAGGCTTCGGAGTGGTTGTACTCATCTCTCGTGACATGACTAATTTACAGGCTGCTATTGACCGCCCTTATTCATCCGACCCATTTCAGATTGAAAGAATTTTCTAAGACTCCTCTTGGGAGTCATGGACTTTTCATTTACGCAAGGCTTCTGGGATGGATGAAAATACGCGCTGTAGTAGATATACATTGCTCGCACTCCACGCGACCCAACAGTTTGCCTACTAGAGATTCCCCACACGACTTCTCAAAATGTTATTCAAGTCAAAGAATCCAGACGTTCATTGTAAGTGAATGTATCTGATTTTTGTAATAGCTAGTCGTTGACACCACTCTGCAGGGCCAAGAGACCAGAGTCTGTGGTCATGGTTGTTTGAAACCTGCCTCTCTAAGTTCGACGCCAACAAGTTACAAGGCTACACAGACGTAGAGACGAAGCAATACATTAGCTATGCGCAGCTCAAGAGATACACCGAGCAGCTCTCAACTTTCTTGTCAGAAAGTTATGGTCTACGTGAGGGCGAAGTCGTCATCATCTACAATAGAAACTCCATATGGTATCCGGTGGTTGCCCTAGCCGCGGTCCGCATCGGTGCAGTCACGTGTGGGATTTCGCCCGAATACACTGTCGACGAGCTAACGTATGCGTTGAAGTTGACTAAAGCGAAGCTCATCTTCACTTCGGCTTCCCTGAAGGCGACAGCCTCCGCTGCTGCAACTAAAATAGGCATGGGCATCGAGTCGATTTTGTACATGGGGAGTGGACAAGGTGGAGTGAAAGGCGTCGAGGAACTACTCCAGATGCTAGCATGTTCAGATGCCCGAGCTCTCGTGAAGCCGTTTGAGATCCCAAAGGACAAAACAAATCACGATGTGTGCGCTTACCTCTGTTTGAGCAGCGGTACGACTGGATTATCGAAAGCCGTCATGATATCCCACGCAAATATTATTGCTCAGTGCCTGCAAGTGCAACAGATCACGCCTCCTGACCACACTAAGATCCTCGCAGCGCTACCGTTCTATCACATTACTGGTATCGTACATGAAGTACATCTTCCGATTACGCTCAATGCTCATGTTTATGTGCTGGCGAAATACACCTTGGATTCACTTCTTCGGACAGTTTCTGAGAATAAGATCAAAGAGCTGTTGATTGTCCCTCCTATTCTCATACAATTGGTGCAGGACACAGAAACAGTGTCTAAGTACGATCTTCACAGCGTGGAACGCTTCTCATCCGGAGCTGCACCACTGCCCGGTGAAGTTCTCAAGCTGCTAGAAAAGAAATTTCCGGGAACAGGCTTCAAACAGGGCTACGGAATGACGGAGTCGTGTTCAGCCATCACGTCCCACCCCCCTTCAAAATATGCCTACAAATACGCCGAGAAGGTGGGCATGTTGGTTGGGTCCACAGAAGCAAAGATAGTGGATCCTAACACGGGAGAGGAGTATGGAGTAGGCAAGCCGGGAGAGATATGGGCTCGCGGTCCGCAGGTAGCCATGGGGTACCTGGGCAATCCTGTCGCCACAGCGGACACATTTGATAAGGACGGTTTCGTTCACACCGGAGATATCGGGCAATTTGACGAAGAAGGCTTCCTCTCCATTACAGACCGAATGAAAGAGATGATTAAGGTCAAGGGTATTGGAATTGCTCCCTCGGAGCTCGAGAACTTACTTCTGGGCCATCCCATTGTAAGCGATGTGGCCGTGTGTGGCATAAGCGATGATCGCGCAGGAGAAAGGCCCAAAGCTTTTGTCGTTCTGCGACCGTCGGCAAGAAAATCGCCCGTTGATGCTGCAAGGTCTCTAATAGAATTCACAAAAGCGAATAAAGCGAGACACAAGTGGATCAAGGAGGTTGAGATTGTGAAGGCCATACCCAAAAGTGCAGCAGGCAAGATCCTACGTAGGCAGCTGAGGGAGAAGCGAGACTGCGCTAGCGGCAACATAGCCGTCCGAGATCTGCCATCTTCGGCTAAATTGTAGAGTAGCTGCTTGTCTTAGTGACTAAATATGAGCAATCCAAAAGAGCAAAGGTTGTGCAAGACCAGCATTGGTAAAATGGGAGTAACTTGGATCCAATTGCAGGATGGAGTTCGACCTTCGAAGTAAAAGTGAGAGGAGCACAAGCGGCGCAGAGGTACCGTTATGGAGAAAGTTTAGCTAGTCCGACATAGTGGTCTCTTGGCCTGATCTAGATCCGCATTCATATCCAGATCATTCTTACAATTAGCTACATCTGCAAGCTTGATTCTGAGAGTAAATGATGTCGTCTTCTAACTCATTTGCTTGAAGTTTAGGTTCACTCGATGTTTGCCCTCGATTTCAAATCAGTGCGACTCGACGGACGCTAGCTTCACTTATTGCGAAGCAGTACATTTACTTTCCACGGCGGTCCAACGCGTAGACGAGTGTGGCCCGAAATTCGAAATGAATGCCCAGAAAACCTCTGTAGAACTTGTTGATCTCGTCAGTAACCTAACGTGGTCAGTCTGCAGTTCGTCGTAACGCCAAGCCAAGTGGAGCCAGTGCAATCCAACAATTTTTTTCTCTACATTTGCTCATGCAGTTTATGTGGCCCGGAACTGCAGCATCGACGTCGGTATTGAGATCAAGATCACGTGTATGGATAGCTGATGATGTGAAGATGGGAAGACATGAGTAATGTGATTACCATGAGTAATGTAATCAGCAGTGCCAGCCAACGTCAGCCGAAGGGTTGCAAGCATGAAAGGGAATTTGAATGAGGAACAATCAAACCAATCGCGAGATTTACGTTCTCCACATCGTGGTTGAAGAAAGCATCAGAGCAATCATCTCACACGCGTTTCGGCTTAGAGGCACTACTACCACATCGATTTAAGTATATCGTGATCATAAGACGACCTAGCGGAGTTGAGCATGAGTTTCAAGTTCTTAGCTGTGGATAATATACTGGATTGTAACCGAAAGCAAGTAGATGAAAACATGGAACTCCAGACCCAGCACTCTTGACGTGCAAAAATTAACTGCGTCGTTCGTGCAAGGAGCGTCCACCAACACTCATAGGACATTTTCTATGTTTGCACAGGCGCCATGCTATTCATCTGCGCCATTACGAGAGTCATATTATTGGCGCACAACAGCCGTACGCCAGCAAGTGCGAATTTTCAACCATCCTTTGAATCGATTCAGAATATATATAAAGTGGAATGCCGTGCCAGCAGGAGTGTATTGTAGGTCATTTCTCTTTCACCATTAACAGCATATTTTTTGTGCACATACAGCTCGATTCGACAAGCCTATCTGCTCACTGTGAAACTACTTGCTAGGGCTGTCGCCAATATCCGCTCAATTTTCCATTTCTGCTCTGCTCTAGGACGTGGACGTCTGAGTGATCGTGCCTTTGTCCTCGGCTGAGCCTCATGAGTCCGTCGGCATTATCACTTTTCTTTCCGTCTCTATCTGAGGGCATCATTTTACCATTTCCTACTTTTCAGTATCAAATATTACCTTGTGAGCTTTCATTGAGTTGAACAAAGCATAACCTTCAACGGCTTGACTAAGGGGTAATACTGTCTCGGTCATAAAACTACAGTGGGGTCAATAATCGTTGGCCTTTTTTTTTTGGAATACTCAACATACTTCAACAGATGTTGCTTCTTCTCGAGAAGTTCCAATGCTTCTGGGAAAATGCCTTTAAAGATTGAAATTAGCATAAGCAACATGGACTTGCATCAGGAAATTGTACCCACTTCGAACCGGACATCTGCCCATTTGTATAGTCAGATTTTTTCCATACGCTTGATTTCCACTCCAAGGGATTGGTCCATTGTGAACTCCGACACTTGAGATAATTCCCCAAGGCCGAAGAAGTTCAAACCCCATAGAAAGAGCATCGCTGTTGCCTACGACCTCAATAACAACATCCGCACCGCGACCATCCGTCAGTTCTTTAATGCGCTGGAAGAGCTCTTCAGGATGCGTTAGATAATTCCAAGGCTCACCTCCAAGTCTTTTGGCTGTTTTCAATCGATCTTCGACGCCATCAACTACCAAGATAGACTGTGGTTCGTATTCCAAAGCCGCAATTAAAGCACAAAGACCGACTGGACCACAACCGATCAACACCACTACACTTTCTCGAGCTTTGTCACGAGACATTTTGCCGAGTGCATTGAAAGCCGCAAAATAGCCAGTAGGGAAGATATCTGCCATGAGACATAGCTTCAGCTCGTCAATTCCAGCCGGGGCCTTCATAACTGTCGTCTCAGCCAGTGGTACCCTGACGTACTCAGCCTGCCCACCATCGAGCAATGGACATCCAAAGAGTAGGCAATTCTTGCAGCGCGATGAGAACCCCCGTGCACAATAATAGCATGTGCCACAGCTAATGGTGAACGGGGATACAACATGATCCCCGGGTTTAAGATCTTGAACATTGGAACCGACTTGATCAACTATACCGGTAAATTCATGGCCCATAATAAATCCGGTTGCGGAAGCTTGATGACCTCTGAACACATGAAGCTCACTATAATAAATACATTAATAATAGTTATTTGAAAAGCACTTACTATATATACTTTAAATATATATAAATTTCTTTCTTTCATACCTGCCACATATTGCGGTATATCGCACTTTTATTATGATATCCTTAGGATCTTGAATTTTTGGAACGGGTCGGTCTTCGAGTGAAACCTTGTTTGCACCCTGGAAAAGAACAGCACGCATTTTAATAGGATTGATGTACATTCATATCACAGCATATATTTAGGCTTTCTGGAAAAAGAAGAAATAGGCCTATAGTCAAAACATCTTGCTGGCGGAGCCTTTGGTTAGAATAGAATAGTATTTCTACTGAAGTTCTCGTCTTAAGATTTTTAAACAAAAATTTGCTAGGGCGTGACCACGTAAAGGTAACTTTCTTAAACATGGTGCCATTAATCAATCCAGAGTCAAACTACCTCAAGGTTTGCTCACCGAGTCTTAAAGAATCATTTGATGGCATGACGGACGAGGACTGATCAAACCATGAGTTTGGTCACATTACTCATGTATTTCCCATGATTAATGCAGACTTGATCCGCGCTATGACGGTCCATCGGCTTATTAAATACAAAGTTTAAAGAGCCTGGGTCCATTAGAAGCTGGATCTGAAGTAGGTATAATTCAAATGTGCTGCTATTGCAGTCGTCCATGTAATTGCTACGCTTGACGCGATGAAAAAGGAGACTATTACTGGATGGGATTTATTTTTCGGATTGGTATGAAGTGTATTATCTAAGCGAGGTTAAGTATGTCAGTCTAAGCACATACCAAGTATCACGTGACATAAGCAAACGCTGGCTAGATAAGAGAGGAGAGCCAGGGGTAAGGGATAGGAGAATAACTATATAATCCATCAGTCAAGACAGCATATAATAAACTAAGCAGATTTATAATCTTATTTATGTACTATTTATTATTCCCATAATCTTCTATATAGATATTAATAATTATAAGCCCAGTTAGTAACTAATATAGTACTATATAAAGTGAGAAGGTGCAGCAGTATGTATGACCTGCAGGATAAGCCTGAATAGACCTATATAATTATTAAGTAGTATACTGCCAGAATAATAATAATAATAACTACTAATATATAAATATAATCTAAGTAAAAATACTGGATCTTAAGCTTATCAATACTTTATAAAAGTGAAAACTTAAAGTAATTATATTATATTTAACCTATCTATCAATTAGGTAGTTAACTAAGTTAAATAAGTTCCTAATAATTATTATATAAACTATAGTAGATATAGTAAATACTATTAAAGTAAAGGAACAGCTAGTTATCCTTAAAACTTAGGATAATTAGGATAAGTAGATTAAATAACTAAAAGGGATAATTATACCTATACTATAGACAAAATTTATAGACCTAGACTTAACTAATCTACTAGCTATACCAACCCTTAATATAGAGGAACTAATTAAGTTAGCCTATTTAGCCACCTATACTATAGCAGTTAGTAAGGTAGAGGAGGAGTAGGTTAAGCCACCTAAGTATAATTAAGTCTAATATAACCTCATAAATAAAGAGAGAGAGGAATTTAGGTTTGACCTGGAGATCTTTATTTATAAGGACCTACCTAAATTTAAAGCTGAAGAATAAGAATATATAGAAGCAGTTTAGGTTATCTAATAGATATATAATAATATAGCTAAACTATATTTAAAGGTAAAAAATCTGCTCTATATATAAGTTCAGAAATTGTGAGATATCTATTGAGGCGATCCAGCTCTATAAAAGTAATATATAAGGGAGGTATATAATATTATAATTAGGATGCCGGTAATAGCAAAGATAATTATATCTTAAGTATTTAAGTAGTAGGAGGTAATGCTTTAAGCTGAAGTAGTTAACCTACTATATATACTAGACTATAAGTAGTAGTTGAGTGACTTACTAGCTATAGTTAGTAATCTGGTCCTAAGTATAGTAACTTGGTGTTACGAGGTAACATGTGAATTGTCATGTGAGTACAGTTCTGATTATTTTGATCATTTTCCAGAAAATGATCAAAATAAGTGTATTAGTTAATGGTTGATAGCCAGGGTATCACTAATTAATAAAAATAATTATTCTACTTATTCTAAATAAAATAAGTAGAATAAGTAAGGTAATAAGGATACTAAGAATAAAGTCTATATAAATATCCTATCTTTACCAGTATTATACTTCTTCGTAATTTAATTATCTAGTTTATCTAATAGTTAGTTTAAATATACTCCTATACTCTTAAAGTTTATATTATTCTAAATCATAAATATAATTATCTTATTATATTCCTTCTATAATAAGCTTTAATTATACCTTATTCTTTTACTTTAGAAAGCTAAATCCTTCTAAAGTAGCTTATATTAGTAAAACTAGTTAGTACTGGGAAAGTATTTCTAATAAAAGTTGAATTACTAAGTTATTAGATAGAGTTGTTACGAAGTAACATGGGAATCATGTGAAAGGAAAATGATCATATTAATCATTTATGATCAAGGTGATCGGTTTACATAAGTGAAAGGTTGTGATTCGCCTGGGTGGATTGGATGAATCAGGAATACAGTCTACAATCAGTTTGATTATTTATGATTAGAATAAGCGCCAGGTTTTATATATCTATAAATATATCTTATCTCGCCTTCGCTATGGCTCTCTATAATTTAACTATCTAGTTTACCTAGTAGTTAGTTTAAATATTTTCTTATACTTTTGAAGCTTATACTTGTTAGGAATACTTTCCCAGTACCGACTAGCTTCACTAATGTAAGCCACTTCGGAAGGGTTTAGCTTCCTAAAGCAAAGGAACAAGGTATAACCAGAGCTTATTATGGAAGGAATATAATAAGATAGTTATATTTATAACTTAGAATAGTCTAAGCTTTAAGAGTATAAGAAAATATTTAAACTAATTACTAGGTAAATTAGATAGTTGAATTACAAAGAGGTGTAATACTAATAGAGATAGGATATTTATATAGACCTCTTTCTTAGTATCCTTATTACCTTACCTAAAGTAATTATTTCTTAATAAAATAAGTAGAATAATCACTTTTACTAATTAGTAATACCTTGGCCTCCGGTTATTAGCTAATGCGCTTATTTTAATTATTTTGCCCAGAAATAATTAAAATAATCAGAACTATGTTTATATGTTAACTTATATATTACCTTATAATACTATTCCCCTCTTTAGTAAGCTTATCCTAAGCTTTAGTACTTAAAGGGTCTAGTAGCTACTAAGAGGGAAATAAAGATATCTTTAACTTCTTCTCTCTATTATAAATGTCTCACTTCTAAAATTAAGGAGTCTAGAAGTATTACTATATTTAATTATAAATATTATCTAATTTATAGATTAACCTATATTGCTATATCTTCTTTAAAAAATATTAAATATATAAATTATATTTATAAAGGTATAAAGTATATTAATATATTATAGGAAATTCTAGATAAGACCAGTGTCATGGGGTCACCCCTATGACACGTGATTGGCACCATCCTATTGCCTATCTGATTAAAGCAGCACCGATATCAGCTAACATTGTGAGGAACGGAGTAGGAACATACGCACGGTACAGCTGCGCTCAGGCCGTGGGTCATGTGCTCCAGGGGAAAGCAGTATTTAAGCTATACATAATATCTACCTTAGTTTAACTCCTTAATTATTAGTTTTAATACTAATCTATATTTATTACTCCCTATCCTGATATCACGCTTATATTCACCTCTTATAATTCTAATAACTCTTTACTAAAATAAAGGTATAAATTTAATATTAAAATATTAAAATAATTATATAATAATAGTATCTTTATATTTATTATTAAACTAGAATCCTTATCATTAATATTATTAATTGATAAGTAAATCAGAGAACTAAAGAAAAGAGAAGCAGACCTTTAAAGAAAGATCTAATTTAAAGAGCTAAAAGAGAGAGTAGTATAAATAGAGGCTATAATTAAAGAATAATTAACTTATAATATTCTTACTATAATTAAAGATAGCTAATTAAAGAATACTAATACTAAAACCCCTAAATTAATACTACTAAGTACTCTACCTTAAGGGAAGGATATCCACCTAAAAGACTTTTTAGAATATAAAAGAAAAATATTATAGGAGTATATTAACTGGATCGACTACGCTATAAATATATTTTAACTAGTATTTAAAAGATTTATATAAGAAAGTATTTAGGTTACCTAAACCTAATAATTTCTTATAAGCTCCTTAAGAATAACTTAGTCTAACTATACCAGAAATAAAGGAGATAAGCTAAATATATAGGAAGAATTTATAATATTCCTATTTAATAAACTTAAAGATCTAGGAAACCATAAGCTAAATATCTATATAGTATACACTTAAGCAACCTAAAGGAAGGGTTAAACTATAGCTAACTTTAAAGTATACCTTACCTCCTTAAAAGCCTAGATAATTACTATATAGATAGAGAAGGAGAAATATAATAACCTTATTATAAAACTTAGATTAGATTTATAGTATTATCTAATAAGCCTACTAATAATACTAGAGATATATAGTAGTGTTATAATACTGCTTATAAAATAGGAGAAAACTAAGAAGAAAATAAAGATAGAGATAGCAAATATAGGCTTAAAATGAAAGTTTGGTAACAGTAATATATTCCCTAAATATAATTAGAGTAGGGAATTAGTAAATCTGAAATATAAGTTAGAAGATCCTAAACTATCTACTAATAAAAAGAAAGAGTTAAAAATAAGATATTATAAATATAATAAGTTTAGATATATAGCGCGAGACTATCGTAAGCCAAAGGGAGAAATAACTAATAAGGAAAAAGTGTTAGGGTTATATTAATCTTTATATATATAACTTATACAGAACTTAAAGCTATAGGAAAAGTAATTAATATAAATAGGATAATTAAGGGCCTTACTAATAGTAAGAATATCAAAATTATATTAGACTTAGGAGCTGATATTAGCCTAATAACACTAAGACTTGTAGAGGAGCTTAACCTCCCAGAAGCAGATATATATATACCTTACCTATATTAGGGGGGTATACAGATATTAACTGTTTTAGGATATATAAAATTAAACTATATTTATAAAATATAAATAAAGTTAAGAAGACTGTACTATTAATTACATTTATAATAGACTAAAGGTAATTATATATTATTCTAGGTATACCTACT